TGCACATTACATGAGACAAGGGAGGGAATATGAGAAAAGGCTCTAGAATATTCATACTACAGTAATTACTGAAATTCATCATTTCAAACTGATAAAAATTATATCACAATAACCATTTCATTGCACCTAAACCAAGAAAAATTCAAGATCCAAAAACAAATTATTCGCAGGGAAATTAAATCAAGTCAAAGTCGGCATCATCTAAAATTAATTGAAAAGGAAATTAAAAAGAAAAAAACCTGTTTGGCGAGAAGTTTTCTCTCAAGGTTGCCAGTAGCAAAGAAAGAAGAGTCAGGACCAAAACGTCAGTGAACGGAGGTCCAATAAGGAAACAATAGGTCGTTTTCAGAGTCCAGAACCATAACGACAACTTGGTGTTGTTGGTACAAGCAAAGAAGCGAGATGCCGATTTCGAATTTGAAAGGAACGCTGATTAGATTTAACAGAAGATGAAAAGAATCAGTAATTACCTAGCAACTTTCCCCGCAGCCGCATACAGCAAATCCCAAGTTCTTGGCGGCGAGGGCAGTCGCGATTGACACTTAGGGCTACCACGGATAGACCACTACATGTACCCACAACCACTCCCCACTGCACACAGCGTCGATTGAGGCGAACCAGACATACGCAAACCCTGCAAATCAAGAAAAGAAGCAAGGTAAGCACCCAAAATCAAAACTCACTCAAGAAGTGAAAAAATCTCGTACATTGAACAAACCTCGGATCTCCACGAAGTGCAAGAACTTTCTGGATGCCATTGGACTTGACAGTCCCAAGTGGGTGGTCGATCTTCATTTTCTTATCATCACTAACTTCTTTAGATCGTTAATTTATGTGATAAAAACCAGATCTGGGTTTGTAGAGGTAAGGGAGAAGGAAAAGTAAAGGAGAGAGAAAGTGCAAGAAGAAGAAGAGATGACGTGAATGAAAAAAAAATATATCATTATTTTTAAATTAAATAAAATGCTAACTCATAAAAAAAAGTGTCATGTCATTAGTTAAGAAGAAAAAGGATTTGATTTGCTGGCAAGTTAACGTGACACATATCATTTAATTGACAGAAGGACTATTTTAGTATAAAAATAAACATTTAAGGATAATTTTAATATTTTTTAAAGTTAAAAGACAATTTTGATACCAAAGTAAAAAGTTGAGGGACTAAAATGATACTTAAACCGTTGAAAAAGTCTTTAGTGCGCCTGTTTGACATGTCCTTTCCTTGGAAAAATGAGAATTCAAGGAAATTGCACAACATAGAGTTATAAACACGTAATTTTATCAATTACATAATTGATTATAAAAAAATCAACTATATTATCATTTTCTTATAAAAGTTTCGTTTTAAGTCTTTTTGTAAGCGAAGTGACATAAGTGATTATAAAAAATTAATTAATAATATTATATATA